CAGGGCCTCCAACACCCTCCTCACCACCGATTTCGATCACTTGTTGTTCCTTTGTCCCTGGGATTGTTAACACCACTTCCTTTCCCATCTCCCCCAAGAACTGTCAGTCCCATTGTTTTCTCCTCCAGATTGTTCATCCAGCTTATTTTCCTGCATTGCTACTTATAATCCTCATTAAGGATTGATTGTTTTGTGTGTTTTACTTTAATTTTGAAAAAGTTTTAGGTACATAAGCAAAATAGTATGTGCTGATATACAATTTTATGTATGTGTGAAGGCAAATATGTCTGCTTTTGTGAAGTATATGTGTGTGGGGGGGTGTATGTATTTATGTGTATATATGTAGGAACACTAGTGGCATAGTGTATTATACTTTGGACTGCTTTTGGGAGGCAGATGAGGCTTTCTGCTCTCATAATAGTCTACATCCTTGGAAACCCTGTTCATCAGAATGTACTCCACAGCAGTGTGTTTGGGTTTTGGTATATGCATATATGTGTGTATGCTTATGAGGGTAATTCCAAAGGCTCTGCTGTAAAACCTTTGTTAAACAAAAATATTAAGGTATGAAGCTCCTGTTTCTCAACATACCAGACATGTAGGTTTATATACTTCTGAAGCCCGCATCCATATAGAATTCTGTGCTCTTCAGCTTACACCGCACAAAACCGCAGTTATGGCATACCCATTGTGTTTCTTTTAATGTTTCATTGCATTTGGGAGTACTATACAGAAGTCTGAAGGGACAAGGTCAGGATTGTGGTGTGGAGCAGGTAAGGCTTTCTAATGAATACCTCATTTGGACAGAGCAGACATTTTCATGATGAAAAAAATTCCGTGGTGTAATTTTCCTGATGTTTTTCTCACCAGTGTTCAATTTTCTTAAAACACCCTAAAGAACTTTTCAACCTCTTAGAAGCTAGGAGACTTAGCTGCAAGCGTCACATCAAAGACATTTTATATTAGACTACAGCTTCTTCTCCGGAAATACTGGCTACAGAAGAGTACCCTTCTGTAGACCATCTGTGTTCTTGCTCTTACTTTGAGCAACAGGAAGTTTGGGGTATTTATGATATTAACTATACTGACAAAGAGAGCTTTGTAATCAGACAAGGTAAAATCAATCATATATGAGAAGCATTGTGGGAGGCTTCATGAGCAAACCAGGTGTGGAAGTGGCTTCTTCACTCCAACGTAGTAGACAGCTAGCAATCCCCATCACAACAGATAAACTGAGGACTCAAGGCTCAGAATCACAGTGAGAAATAGTAAGATCACTGAAGTATTATGACACTAACTCACCTCACGGTACACCATGAGCAAAAGATTGCAACCAAAGCAGGTGATATTAGAGAATGCAATGGAATAAGCAAGGACTTTGAGTCACGCAGAATATATTTGAATCCTGCTTCTATTAGCAACCAGCTGTATACTTTTAAACATGTGTACTTAATTGTTTCATGCTTCAGTTTCTTCGTTTGCCAAAGATGGGATGAAATTAGGTATATGATGCTCTCTAGTGTTACTTTCTTTGTCCGTCTTTATTCCTGTTCATTCTGCTATTTATACGTATGTAAATTGAAGGTTTCCAGTTACCTGATCCGTTTTCTTAGCTCTTTTAGTATTCATGTCTTCCTAGCAAAACAATTTTATTTACAACTGAAATGAACCAAATAATTTCGCCTTTTAAAATACAATGATGAAAATAATTTATCATTTTATTTATCTATTAAGTAATTTCCCTCTTTAAATTGAAGATGCCATTGAACCCAGCCTCAAAGAAACTGACAGCTCAAAAACAACAGAATAAGCAGAGCTGCTAGAAATGTAAAAATAATAAGAAGAAAGGTACATATAAAAATAATTAATAAACTCTTTACTGAGCAAGAGTCTAGGAAACAGCAACACTCTGGAAATGTTTCATAATTCAAAGAGTAATACATATGAAAATATAGAAATGACAGTGAGTTTGCTAATCAAGTTAGAATTTTCTATTTCAAGCCTCTGCTCCTGAAGTGTAACAATGATGGATGAAATTTAAGATGGAAAAATTAAAATCTTTTGATTAAAATCTGTTCTGATATTAGTGTTGTGACTTCACCGCAGTTAGCAGTGGAAAGATTCCTGTCATCTATAGTTACAAATTAACATTCTCGGTTGCTAAAAGCACCTGTGGAAGTGGAATTGAGACCATTGTTAAACAGTGACTTAAAGGGGACCATCTGGCCAGAACTGATAAAGGCAGCAATAATTTGGTTATATTGTAAGAAAATATAAACATTAAAAATCCTTTCTCAATATTAGTATATTGCCTTATAGACATTTAAAGGGTTTGTGTTTTATTGATCTGACTTCTGTATATACTTAACAGCCAGCTTTTATTTACTGTTGGATTATTTTAGTTAATAAATTTTAGTTTTGAGTGAAATCTTTTTCACCAAATTCACTACAGCATGTTGTATGTTCCATGCACATATAAGAGGACAACCTCTCATATAAACATTGTAGTGTGATTACAGGTATGGCATGATTTACTGCCATTCAGAGGAGCTTGTGCCCCTCTCCACTCTGCTGTCTTTTGAATATGCTATATGTAAAAGAGCTGACAGCTTGCTGAATTTGATTGCAATTTAATTTAAAGTGCTTTGTCTCTGAATGACTGTTAGCTGTTTAAAACTATGAAATTCCAAGTCTGTTTCATATTAAGATTCAGGAAGTTGCATAGAAGTAAGAACTGTAAAATCAATCGCTTTTTACAAATATGTATTTAAGAACCTATAAACCTAAAGCCCCTTGCCTTCATTTTAATTCTGCCTTACAGGAACCTATAGGTACCATATATGTGGCTGTGTAATGTGTTACTGAGTTATTAAAAAATTCTCTAAAGACATTCTTCAATTTTGTTAGCATTCAGTGATTTGCGAAATTATAACCCGCTTCAAAAAAGTTCTTAACAAGTTACACAAGCAATCCTTCAACTAGAATATGAATGGCATATTGCAAAAAAGAGATTCAACATATTTTAAAAGTCAGATCTATTTTTAACATAAAATTACTGTTACAGTGAAAATTATGTAATAAAATTTCTTGCCCAAATAAAGTGGAAAATATATGAGTGGACGTTGCTTGATATATTAGCATACTCTAAATTTCCAATTTCAGGTGATGGAGTATGAGAATAGGATTCGAGCCTACTCTACACCAGACAAAATCTTCCGGTATTTCGCCACCTTGAAAGTAATCAGTGAGCCTGGTGAATCTGAAGTGTTTATGACTCCACAAGATTTTGTGCGATCTATAACGCCCAATGAGAAACAGCCAGAACGTAAGTTACTAAAGTGGAAAATAAGCTGTACTATTTATTTAGTTTCGTACTCTTTAAATCTTTCTTAACATTGCCTAAATATTACAGGTCCTTACAGTAAATATACTCCCCATGTAACTGCGGAATGTGAGGCGTTTTGGAAGGCCTTAGGAGTACAGAAAGAGTGGGCCTGCAGCCTCATGCGGTACTCCTCAACCAGAGTAGAGAGAGAGTTCGAGCTGTCATCCCCTGCTGGCTGAGCACCAGTGCCTGCAGTAAGAGTGTCCCTGGAGGAAGTGTAAGATAAATGTCACAGCTAGTAACTTACTCTTCAATAAGGGAGATAGAAACATTAACAGATTAACTTTAGAAATGTGGGTTTGTTTGTTTTTTAATTTAAGAATATTAAAAGCATATAGTAGTATAAAGAAGGGGCACTTAGCTTAGTCTGGAATTTTGGATAGTGAGTTCTAAAGAATATATCTAAATGTGAACAAAAGTTAGACAAAGAATAGTGGAAAGAATGTCCCATGTAAAGGAAACCACCTGTACAAACATTTATTCTGGAAACAGAATAAATGGCTTAATAGTGAGGGTTAAATGTAAGAATGTATATGGCACAAAACTAGAAGGCAAAGGAAATAATTCTTTAGAGGCTAAGTAGGAAAGACTTCCAAGAGGCAGTAGCATTTGAGTTGTGTATTTAACAAATAATAGTAGCTTGTCATATATACAATGGGGTACCCAATTCCCCTTCCCCCCCCTCATGAACCCTTGATAATTTATAAATTATTATTTTTTAATGTCTTACATTGACCGATGTCTCCCTTCACCCACTTTTCTGTTGTCCATCCTCCTAGAGGGGGTTATATGTAGATCATTGTAATCCTTTCCCCTTTTCTCCTCCCACCTTCCCTTTACCCCCTCCTAGTATCGCTTCTCTCAATATCCTGAGGAGTTGGGCAGAGCTTTTGTGGTATGCATTTTTCCCTGTAGGCGAGCATCGAGCAACTGCCCCTGGGTTAGTGCACCTAGTGGCATCACCTGGGTAGGGTCTGTCTGGTCACAGTGAATTTTTTGGTAAAAGTGGTTTTGCTCGAACCACATTTTGTGATGGCCAATTTAAGAGAAGAGTGTGTGGCTGTGAAATTTTGGTTCCTGCTCAGGAAAAATGCTGCAGGAAACTGTTGTGATGTTGAACACAGCTTACAAGGACAGCACTATGGGGAAAACTCAAGTGTAGGATTGGTTTTCTTGTTTCAAAAAAGGTTAAATGACGATTGATGACAAACCTCATTCTGGACATCTGTCAACTTCCTGAATGGACAAAATTCATGCATTTATACTCGAAAACTGACAACAGACCATTGAAGAGGTGGGACAGCTATCTGCGCTATCTTGGAGCTTGGTTCAATAATTTTAATGGAAGATTTGGGAATGAGAAGGATCACTGTGAAATGTGTGCCTCAAGTTCTGACTCACCAGGAAAAAGCATTGAGTGGAAACATGCTGTGCTTTGAAAGAACAGCTCCTAAGCCACCCAAACTTTTTTCCAAGGTCATTACTGGTGACAAGACATGGTGCAATTCTTATGACCCCGAAAGCAAACCTCAATCAAGCCAGTGGAAGACACCATCGTCCCCTCACCCAAAAAAAGTTCATCAAGTGAAATCAAAGATCAAGATGGTGCTTTTTTTTTTTTTTTTAATGTGGGGGGGATGGTGCATTTGGTGCTCTTTCTACCAGGCCAGACTATTAATCAAGCTTTCTATTTAGAGGTTCTGAAAAGGTAGCATAACAGTGTGTAACAAGAAAGCCTGATTTGAGGCAGGCGTGGGACTGGTTTTGCCACCACAATAATGCATCTACTCACACAGCCATCTCAGTATGCTAGTTTTTGCCAAAAACCAGCATGCCTCTCTTGCCCGATGTACATTACTCACCTGACCCTGCTCCAGGGAGTTCTTTTTGTGTCCTCGATTAAAGAGGGACATAAAAGGATAGCAATTTGACTATGTAGAAAAGGTGAAGAAAAAAACGAGGAGGTGCTGTCAGCCCAAACAGATGAGCTTGAAAAATGTTTCCAAGATTGGAATTGCAGATTTGACAAATGTAGGAAGTGTAATAGAGAGTACTTTAAAGGTGTTAAGGTTGTTTTATAAAAATATTTAAATACATAGCTTTGTAAAAAAAAAATTCCAGTCTTTTTTTGGGGGGTTGGGGGGTGGGACCCCCTCATATGCTAAGGAAAAAAGCACCAGACAGGACAATCATGTTTGATATACTATCAAGTATATACAAACACTTGAAATAGCACGGTGAACTTGGGGAATCAAAAATAGTTAAAATATCTTAACCTGGGAGTTTATAGTGTTTTGCCCAAACTTAATAACAGTCATACACGTTGAGGAGAATTAAAGACAAGGAAGTATCGTTAGGTGCTCTCCAGGTGGTTCCAACTCAGAACCACCCCATGTTGCACAGAAAGAAACCCTGCCGGGTCCTGCTCTCCTCATCATTCCTGCTGGGGCCATCCTATTGTGGCAGCGACTGAGTCAGTCTAGCTCCTGGAGGTTTCTCTTCTTTTGTGCTGAGCCTCCACTTTACCAAGTAGTATGTCTTTCTCCAGGGACTGACCCCTCTTGACAAGATGTCCAAAGTATGTGAGACAAAGTCTCATCAGACCCAATTCTAAGGCGCATTCTGGCTATACTTTTTCCAAGACAAATTTATTTGTTCTTTTAGCAGTCCATGGCATATTTATTATTATATGTGAATACCAGAATTCAAATGCATCAATTCTTCTTTGGTCTTTCTTATTTACTATCTAGCTTTTCTTTTCTTTTCTTTTTTTTAACTTTTTAAGAGAATAAAATATCACTGAACTTCAATAGTTATCGACGTAAGGCTACTTTTATTTCTTCTATAGCCTTTCTCACTGCCTCTCTATCTTAAACTGTTTTGGAATCAATCTAGGACATCATCTCATTTAATCTGTACTACATCTGTCTTTGTCTTTAAAAGACAAGGCTACTTTAAGGAAACATCGATTATAATTTAGTTCTAATAACAGACGAGCATTTAAAAAAAACTTTATTGCCTCTGTTTATCAGTATCTTTCTAAATCTCATCTCTCTTTGTTGTGTTCAGTGTTATAACAGTGAAGTCAGAGTCATAACAGTTATTGAACATGTATGTAGTTCAATTCTTGGATGTTATTAGACTTGAACATTGGCAAACTTTCTATTCTGTTATGACTCCCTATACCAACATCAACACAGACTTCATTCTAGATGTCCATAGCCTGCTAAATGGCAGTGTTTTTTGTGTTTTTTTTTTTCTTTTCTTTTTTTAACATTTTATTAGGGGTTCATACAACTGTTATCGCAATCCATACACACATCAATTGTGTACAGTGCATTTGTACATCATTCTCAAAACATTTTCTCTCCACTTAAATATCCCCGACATTAGGTCCTCATTTTTCCCCTCCCTCCCTAAATGGCAGTGTTTTGATTAGTAATTATAACATGAAACATCTGGAGAAAACAGCTGAGAATGGTAACAGCAATTACACACTGCAACATTGTATTCAATACATATTGCTAATGCTAAAATGTTAAGAATTATAAATGCATGATTGTAATCATGGCTTGTAACTTGAATGTGTTATTCATCAGGAACTATCTGTATTACATTTTTAAAGATTGCAGTTATATATCGAATATCAATCTAAATTATGTTTTTATTTTGTTTGTTTAAATCAACTTCCAAACATGATCATACAGTACACATGATTGCTTTATCTCTTAAGTCTTTCTTAATCTATAATGTTTTCTACCTGTAATTTTTTCCC